CCCACACTGCCAAAAGCACCAAAACCTGGTTCAATGACCGTGGGATTACTGTGCTTGATTGGCCAGCAAACTCACCTGACCTGAACCCCATAAAGAATCTATGGGGCATTGCCAAGAGAAAGATGAGAGACATGAGACCAAACAATGCAGAAGAGCTGAAGGCCGCTATTGAAGCATCCTGGTCTTCCATAACACTTCAGCAGTGCCAAAGGCTGATAGCTTCCATGCCACACTGCACTGAGGCAGTAATAGCTGCAAAAGGGGCCCAAACCAAGTACTGAGGTACATATGCATGCTTATACTTTTCAGAGGTCCGATATCGTTCTATGTACAATCCTTGTTTTATTGATTGCATGTAATAGTCTAATTTTCTGAGATTGTGGATTTGGGGTTTTCATGAGCTGTAAGCCATAATCATCACAATTATGACAAATCATGGCTTGACCTATCTTGCTTTGCATGTAATGAGTCTATCTCATATATTAATTTCTCCTTTTAAGTTGCATAACTGAAATAAATGAACTTTTGCACAATATTCTAATTTTTTGAGTTTCACCTGTAATATAAAATACAAAAAATTGCTTTTGTATTTTTGTATTTTATATTATAAATTAATAAAAACTGTAAACTATGAGAAAATGACAATATATATCCAAAATAGAAGTCTAACCAAATTTAAAAATGAATAGCTGTCTTGTGTAGTACACATCACACAGCAAGGCAAAGGTAGACATTTGAAATATGGTTCCTAACTGATACCAATAAAAAAACAATAGATGAAAGATTTTATATTATTCAGTGTAAATGAAGCATCACAAACACATCTTTCTGTGGAGTTTTTTTTTTTTTTTGCACTCTATAACTTTTTTTTAGTTTGCACTCTGCACAATTGATTAATTGGTTGATTATGTGCATCAAATCAACATTCAGATTTTCTCCATAACAAAGTGAACTGGACCTTCTCCAGATGAGCTGTTCAGAGCATCCAGGCATGGGAGGTGCTTCTGTCTCTCATCCAATAGGCTGAGCTGATTTCTGAGACACTCCTACTTGAGGCTCCTCCTTAGCGTCCCCAGTTTTTGCTAAGCCTTTGTTCAAAACGGGCATGTTTCTCTTGGCTGGATTGTCTGAAAGCGAGCAGAAAATTATTAAAAGAAGGTCAGATTGCAGCTTCTGGCTGCAAAAAGAAGTCGCATTTTGAATAAGATTATACACATTCTCTTTCCTTCTCCCTTTCCCATCATTAGGGTCCAAAAAGATAATTCTTTATATAATGTATCTAATGTATGACAATTTAAGTCTATTCATTTGTGCCTCAAATGAGAACTCTGGATTGATTTGTTTGATAATTCATTCATTTGTTTTCTTGGATTTCCATAGTATTCTTAAGAGTGTTCTCCAACCCAAAATTCAAAAGCACTAATAGTGTTCCTATCTTGCTTTTGAAAAGTGTAATATTAATATTTTTAATCTTCTAAAAATCTAAACATCAGTGGTGGGATTCAAAAATTTTTTACTACTGGTTCTGTGGCTTGGTGGGTGTGGCAGGGGAAGGATACCATAAAATCTCCAGTCAGAGGTGGTATTTGCCGGTTCTCCGAACTGTACAGCTAAAAGGTTTTCATTATCATGTAGTTGTTACTGTGATTGTTGCTGTAGATTTATTATATGTTAAATAATCGACTTTGATGCTGCAAGAAAATATAAATATATAAAGAAAATTAAAGATTAGTTTTACGGTTAGTAAATTGTTTTCATAATTACTAAATTGATTTTATAATTGAATTTATTTATTTATGTGGTCATCTATCTCATATGCATGACTATATAAGCAGTTTTCACTAGTTTATACATTTGCTCATATGTTTATACATTTGCCTGTTTTTTCAGTAGTACATAGAAACATTGTGAAGGAAAAATATATTTTTCACATTTCACCCAGTTTTGATTTAGTATAAATATTAGTGATAAACCTTTAGTGTGCATTATGTAAATTTCCAGATTATAAATATACGCACTTACAGATCAAATAAGGAATAATATTCATTAGTCTCTCCATTACATCAAGTGAAAGAGATTGTTCATAAGTAGAAAGTGAATACATTATCAATTCCTGATTGTCTTTAAAAGGAAAGTCATTTTTGTTACTCCCATATTTGATGATGTTGAATTACAGGTTGTTGAATTACAATTCAGTTATATCACATCTTTAAACCACTTTCTAAAGGCAAAGCCTTTATGTAATATTTCATCTTCCTCTGGTCATTTCATTAATCAACTAGGTAAATCAGGGCTAGTGAGTGTAATTTTTAATTCATATTTATGGTACAGTAGCTTAGGTACTGGACCTTGATTAGGGCATTGCTTTCTGCTTTATTGTCTTGTGCTATTCTCTGTATATCTACTGGAGGGATGAGTTCTGGTCTTTTTGTTTCCTTTTTAGCTTTTGTTGTCTGTTTTGAATGGTATGTAAATATGGCTTATTTCTTTGTGTCTATTGATAACTATCCAAATGCCAAGCTTTCAGGAATTCCCTTATATTTTTGGATTTTACTTGAACTAAAATACTGTTTCCCAGTTGAAATTGTGTTTTAGTCATATGTTATGAAATTAAGGCTTTCATTGTGCCTTCTTACTGCTAGCTATTGTTCATGCCTGCCTATCCTACAGAGTGGCTGTTACGGCTCTTATACTGTAGATGACTCCTATGTTTTCTTCTTGGACTATTAGGGTTTTAGTTTATTTAAGATATTTTGGAGAACTTTATTTGGTTTTATTACTACAGTGATGTTGTGTCATTGTAATGGTCTATTGGTTGTTTCTGAGATATTTTTGATGTGTGGTCATGTTCTCAATTTCATAGTTCGTGTTGCTTTTGGTGTAATCAATATCCATTTCATTGGAAAATAGGTGGTTTGTTTCCCTTTTCTGGTGTTCAAAGTTGCTGCAGTGTGTTTGTGCTCAATGAAAACCTTATATGATGCATTCCAATAAGATTTTTGAACTAAGAATCTTCTTAAGACAAGAATTATATTTAATATTTAAGATCTGTAATGAGAACACATTCCAAATTAATAATGGGCATTAATAATATATTTTAATTTTTTAAAATTGTAAATTTGTAATAATCCCAGGACAAATTTTTGTTCCACTTAGAAACTCACAACTGCTAAAGAATCTGGATAAGATTGATTTATTTGTATACACTTTCATTTGGTTTTGGATTTTCCAAATTGCTCTTGTGATAAATCAAAATCTCAAACGTGGTTGCCCATTAGTTGATCTAAAGTATTTCATTCCTATTAGATCAGGAAATTTTACCATAAAACATCCCCCTGTGAGGATTCCAAGTTTCTTATACTGTAAAATTATCATGTAAATAAAAGAATAACATTTCCTTCCAAATATTGCTTACAGACTACAACATTGTTAATACAATGACATTATGACTAAACAACTAAAAAAGAAAAAAGAAACTGAATTCAAAATGGTAAAACTAAAAATCAGGAATGTTGTAATTTACATGATCAATTTAGTAATAATTAAGATAAAATTAAGATGTTTATCTTCCCCATAAAAACCTTTATAATTCATTGAAGTTTGTAGATTATAAATAATATGTTATGTCTAGGTGTTAAAGATCAAAACAGGCTGACAGTTGAGAATACATATATATAACTACTATAAAAATAATACTCTAATTCAAGGGTGCCAAACTCAAGGCCCCACAGGGCTAGCCTGGAAATATCAAGGGAACATCCCGCAATGCCTCTGGTGGCTAAAACAGGCCATGTGCAGCCCCCCGTGCCTCATTTTCACCCACTATGGCCTCCTGCAGCACTGCTGGCTGAAAATTGGGCTGAGAAATGGGCCCAAAACAAACCAAAAAATGGCTGAAAACGGCCCACTTTCAGCCAGCAGAGTGCTGCAGGAGGCTATGGAGGGCAAAAATGAAGAAATCCAGTTTGACACCCCTGCTCTAATTAATGAACCTTAGATGCAAAATATCTACTCATAAATGACTTTGAAGGAAGCCTAGTAAAATTGAGAATACATCTTTATTGAATTATCCTTTTCCACATCGCATGCCAAAAGTGCTCACGTGTGCTCATGTGCCTGCACCCATGATGCAATGTGTGCGTGACTCCCCCCACCCCCTGCCATCTCATTTGGACCATCTCCCTCTCATACACATCCTACTACATACTACATCCCTCCCCATCTTTTAGTTATAGAAGATAATTTGTATTTTATAGTGTTTAATGTTATTATATAAATGATTTTCTATTGTTTGATTCTTTTTAACATTGTAAGCTGTCCAGAGTCACCTTATGATGAAATGGGCAGCCAACAAATTAATAAATAATAATAACTTGTTCTGAGACAATCATAATTTTGAATGGTCATTAAGTAACCAGCCACAAGTTGATATTATCCGTATGGTACATAATATCTGTATGATATTATGCATGCTACTTCATATGTTATTTCTCTTTCCCCAAATGTGAAAGTTTACTTTGCATGGATTACTGCTATGTCTACTTCTACCATGTTTATGTCTTATTTATGGTGTTAATGGTGGAATAATACATTAAAAAAAGAAACCCATAACATTATTTGAACTTCACAGAATTATTATTATATATTCCTACAAAACATATTAATCCAAAAACTGAAAGTATTACTATTTCCAAACCTGTATAAATGGTCAGTCTACAACTTTTCTAAATTTCTCATCAATCTAATAGAAATCCTTATAAATATATTTTTAAGAGTATTGATCTATTTATTAGGACTGTGGAACCACTCATCAATTGCCCACACAACTGCATTTCAGAGCTATTGTGGCTTCTAGTGCTCTTCAAAATCAAGTGAAGAGTAATAAAATTATATAGGAAGGTTTACCTGAAATTGTACATAGAATTTTGAAATATTCCTGCTTGTATGAAACATTTATGTTTTGATTTGGCTTGATATTTTATTTCTTTTTTTTTTAACAGGAATCAAGTGTTTGTAATATGATGAAAGAAGATGGAAAACAATATTGTCAATCCCTACAAAACATTTTAACCTGACACCATACAATAGTCCCTTAACATCATAAATGGTGTATATTAAATCAGAGAAAAATGGGAACACTGCTTCTTCTACAAATACTTAATGGAAAGATCTGCAAAAGAGTATTACAACTGTCTTGCATCAAATTTGGAAAACATGTATACATTTATTTGTTGAGCTAAATTTCAGTTCACATATAATACACTAGATCCTAAGTAGAATAAAAAGAGAGCTTTTGTGGATACTTGTATTGAACATGACTCATGGAGAAGATCTTGTCTCTGAGATGCACCAGGATTCCATTGTTCTAACTTACTTAGAGGGATTACTAATGCATCAGACAGCCGGAGGTTCGGGTTCTGTCATTGACAAAAAGCCTACTAGTAATGCTGAAGATCAGAATTTCAGCGTTTCTGGAAATGCATCTCCTAGCTGTCAGAGAGATGGTGTTCCCAACACACATACATATAGAAGTTCTGGCATGTTGCATCATAAAAAGGCAAGATTGCTACAGTCTTCTGAAGACTGGAATGCTGAAAACAAAGGACGATTGTCTGATTCTTTTGTGGATATAAATGAGAAAAAAGAAGCGTTGTTGGCTGGCATGGTTGAAAATGTGCCTAAAAGCAAGCAAGATAGCACATTGCTGGCTTCCTTACTACAGTCATTTAGCTCTAGGTTGCAGAGTGTTGCTTTGTCGCAACAAATTAGGCAGAGCCTTAAAGAGCAAGGATATTCGCTCAGCAATGATTCCTCGCAGGTAGAGAAAGACTTGAGGTGCTATGGTGTTGCATCCAGTCACTTGAAGACTTTGCTGAAAAAAAACAAATTGAAAGATGAAAAACTGGAGACTGGTCTGCCAGAGCTAACAACAAACCTAGTTCAAGATCGGTTTAAAGAATCTACACATTCAGGACAGAGTGGTTCAAAAGCAATGAATGAATCACTTTCTTGTGCTGCAAGACTACAAGCTGTTGCAAACATGGTAGAGAAAAGATCTAGTCCTGCTGCATCACCTAAGCCAAGTGTTGCCTGCAGCCAACTTGCTTTGCTTCTTTCAAGTGAAGCACATTTGCAGCAATATTCCAGGGAACATGCTCTAAAAGCACAAAATGCCAATCAAATCGCAAGTGAGAGACTTTCTGCTATGGCAAAACTAAAAGAAACTGTTCCTCCAAAAGATGTTGGTCGTTTTAAACTATCAAAAGGAATGGAAAGCCATTTGAATGGTCAGGCAAGATGTTCAAACAAAACAACAACCAATAAAAGCAATACCACAAATTTTCAGAGTCATATGGGCATAATTCATTCATCTCCAAAAATTACAAACTATAAAACATCAGAAAAAGGTCATATGAAACCACCTACTAACAGTAGTTTGCTTTTGCACCTCCTGAAAAATCATAGTACTATTAAGCAGAACAAACAATATGAACAAAATGACAGGTCCAGCATTTTTGAGGAAAGCAGTACACCAACTACTGTTGATGAATACTCTGACAACAACCCAAGTTTTACAGAAGATGATAGCAGTGATGATGAGAGTTCCCATTCAAATTGTCTTCCTATAGATTTGTCTTTCAAACAAAAAACAAATACTCAAGATTCAGGGCAGACAACTTCTCTAGACAATTTAACTCAATCGTTGTTTCATAGTTGGGAATCAAAAGTCCCATCTCTGGAAAACATAGAAGAAAAAGATACTTCTAAAAATACAAAATTGAATCCACACCAAAAAGTAACTTTACTGCAATTGCTACTTGGTCATAAGGAAGAAGAAAACTCACCAAAAGTTAAAGAAACAGAAGGAACATTAGTTCCAGCTGATGTGGCGAAATTTAATTTTTCAATGACTAACAGAACTCCTATTACTGACTCTTCTAATACTAATCGAATAATTCCAGTACATACTCCTCCTTTGCAAACTTCTGCAAAAGCAGATTCACCTATCAACCTTTCACACAATTCTCCTTTAATGATAAAATGTAATTCACCACCATATACTTGCATCATACAGCCCGAGAGACTATCTAATCCAGCTTCTAAACACTTGATAGATCTTACTATTCACAAAGAACTTCATGGAAGTAAACAAAATAAAAAAGAAACTTTACAAACACCTTCATCTTTCAGCGCAAGTAAACTATTGCAAAACTTAGCTCAATGTGGGATGCAGTCTTCCATGTCAGGGGATAACCAAAGACAAGCAAGCAAACAACTAATGACTCTTAACACTGAGAAACCAGTAGCATTGATAGATGGACTAAATACCTCCCTGCTTCATAACACATCATGTACACTTGAAAAAAACAGAATTCTCACTAATCAGTTTCTCCCAGAACAAAAACTTCCCAATTCAGAAATCCAAAATCTGCTAGAACGACGCACTGTGCTCCAGTTACTTCTGGGAACCACCAACAAAAATATGAATGAAACAAAGGAAAAAATGTTTTTAAAAGAAGAGAATTTACAAGATCCAACAGAAAAAGTTTTGAATGAACAAATACTAACTGTAAAAATAAAAGCTGAGCCTTCTGAGGAAGAATCCAGTGCCCTTCAGAATTCAAATGCTCAACAAATAATTGAAAATGTTAATAAGAAATTTCCAGAAACAACTCATTCTTTAGAGAGAAATATAGCTATTTCTCCAGCATCAGAAGAATTTCAGTCCCAGTCTCTTACATCTCAAGACTTTTCCTTTTCGAAGAATGGACTTCTAAGTCGATTACTGAGACAGAGTCAAGATGGCTGCTCTGCAGATAACCTGGATAGGAGAAACCATGAACAGAGTTTTGTGGAATCAAAAAGTCACAGTATGCTCCCGAAAAAGAGAAAATTGCATTCTGATTCTTTAGAAGGTCCTTTAAAAATACTAAAAAGTAATAAAGGTAAAATACCTGATGTCACAATCAATCACAAAACTACTGCAGATGCTTTGTATGGCAGTTGTCTTAACCAAAAAGAATCTAAGTTCATCAAAACTGATTTTGAAATAAAATATTCTTCAGGTTATGTGTCAAATAATGAAAGTGAAAACAGAAGTTGGTCTACAGAAAGTAAAGGATTTAATGTGCTAAAGCAACTGCTTCTATCAGAAAATTGTGAAAAAGATATGTCTCAGCATAGAAATAATTTATCAGTAATGGATGGCAAAAAGAAAGGAAGCAAACATAACCTATCAAATAATGACAAGGCTGAATTCAGTGTTTCTCCTATGCATACTCTCATAGGGAACCCGGGGCAACCAAGCAATTGCTTGGACTACCAGACATTTCAATATTCAGTTGCTATGAAGAGTCCTGCCAGTTCTCCCTTCACTGAACATTTGGGAGGCACAGTATCATCAAAGCCAGAATGTGACCAGTTTAGCATTTGCCATGTACCTAATGAAAGGGGACCTCTAAAATGGGTCATCACTGATTCTGACAAAAATGATCTTGAGAGAGACTCCCCAAGACTGACCCAAACTAATCCAATATTGTATTATATGTTACAAAAGGGGGGGAACCCTATTAGTATTCAGGAAGCCCATAGCAAAGATGCTTGGAGAGATAAATCATTTATGGAAAATTCATCTTCTGTCACAATGAAGAAAGAGTTGTCTCCTGTCACAGAATGTAAAACATTTCCTAATAGAAGAAATGCATACATTAGCCATTCAAATAATATGTCCATTCAACACAATGGAGAAGTATATGGACTCTTAGAAAAGGTATTAACAATAAAAAAAGAACCTGAGTAGGTTAAAATCTTACAAAGTGTTTACAATCAGGTTTGAATATTTTCTTTGAATAAAATAATGTAAATCTAGCATGATTTGAGAAGAGCATGGTATAGCTATGGTTTTGTTTGATGAATTTTTTTTGCTGATATTTAAGATGCATACAGCTTTTGTTCTTTATTTTTGCTTTACTAGAAATTTACTAGAAATTTATCACAATACATGTCATCAGGACTTGTTAATTATATAAATGTCCATGAGTAATTTGCAGCTGGATTGTACTCAGTGAGTAACTGCTATTACTGTCCTTGCACATAAGTATTTGCTTATGGAAATCCATACTATTTTCCTTAAATGTTTCAAAACCACGAAAGTGATAAATCACAGACATTTCAAAAAGCTGTATGTGATTTGTACACATGGCAAACAGAATAAATCATATGAGCAGATTTATTTACATGTATCTGGGCGAGTGTAGGAATAAGTATAGAGACAAAAGCAACTGTAGTAAGATACATAAAAGAAGATTTTTTGTGAGATACTGGTGTTACTCATACAATGCAGTATCATTTAAATATTGCATCATTCAACATTGTATATTTTCTCTTCTCTCACAACTGGGCTACCATCATCTTGTATTGTCTGTTCATTTATAAAATGTGAAGAATATTTTTATATATATAAATGGATCATCATCCAGGCCAAGTCATTTATTTGTTGTTTTTGTAATACTTAATCAGTATTAACTAGAGAATTGTACACAATGAAATTTCTAGTGCTTCCAAATAGCGTGTAATTTGAATTTGCATAATTGGACAGAACCACAAGAAATACTGTCCTTTTTTTGGTTGCCTTTCCTAGACACTCGGCTTCAATAAATTAAATCTAGGTTGTGACTTTAAAAAATAATGAAGCTGAATCATAAATTACTGGCAGGAAAAGATAAATCTCTTTCACTACTTTTAATTGTTTATTTATTTACATTTATTCAAATTTTCCAGGGAAATTAACATGAAGTTGAAAGATTCTAGACTCATGCTTAAAAAAAGAAAAAAATATGACAGTCAATCTAACATTGTGATCTATTTTCACTAATTCATATATATAAAAGATTTATATAGCTAAGATGAAAGATGTATAAATTATCAAATGATCTAAACGAGCTCACGATCATTTTTAAACTTTTTCTATCCTAGCAATAAGAAAGGAATTATAAATTGGAAGAACTGAATGATTTTAATATTTAAATGCCTTAAAATAAATAAACTCTACATTTGACTGCAGAACTGGAAAATATAAAGTAAATAAACTAAGCATCTACTAGTGTGAAAGATGTTATTTTATTGATTCATGGAATTCCAGATGCCTAGAGGGGAAAGTGGCAAGAAACATCATTAATAAATGTATTATGTTCAAAATTGTTGGTTTAATTTATCCCATTAGACATGAAATACATGTTAAACACATTACAAAGCTAAATAAAAATAATTTTTAAATTTAGATTAGTTCCAATGAAATCACGGATTATTTAAAATTTTCTATAATTATAATTTTGAAGTATCAAGGTTAATGGTACTTTTATATATAATTTTCTGCATTTCTTTTCAAACACATTACTTGGTAACACCTTTTATTGTGATTAAATCCAGATCAATTCAAGTCTTCCACAGATTTGGGTAAAATTGTATTTGACAAAAAGCCAAATCTAGTACAGCTCAGCTCAGCAGGTTCAGCTATATTGAAAATATGCATGTATTAGTTATTATTGGCAGACTAAACTTTTATATAAACAGATACATATCATTGGAGAGTAAATGAGAAGGCTACTCTAATTGAAAATACAGAAATTTATTTCCACAATAACTAGTATGCCATCAAATGAATTACGAATAAAATGTAAATAGCATAACATCCTTCAATTGTTTCCCAGAAACTGCCATTATTCCTTGAGAAGTTAGCATAATATCCAGGTGCCATCAGTAACTTAAATTTCATAATTTCACTTAATTCTTATTACAGCTATTACATGACCCATAGCAATAGCAACAAATTATGAGTCTTGCGTAAATTCTTATGTGTAATATTGAAGCTCAAGTCTTATGTTCATTATTGGTGCAAAAAAACCCAATCAAATTAAATTGAACTTTTTGTTTAGTGGTGTGTGCAAAACATGGACAATGTGTTTTGTTTTTAAATGGAACAAACATTGTTCCTTGGAAGTTCTGCTGGTGACTGTGATTCAGCAGAACTGAAACCCAGATATTTTGGTTATTGTGATTTCATCAAGACTGAAGTCTGGAAGTCACTTACAAGAGGAATAGTGTAATAATGTTCCTTGCTCTTTTCTCCTTTATCTTCTACATGGCCTGTACAGCAAGTCATTTATCAATCTTCCCTATGCCATTTTTTCTCTACTTCCCATTACACTATGCTTGAAGGAAAGTACATCAGCAGCATTTAAAGAGAGCTAATGAATGGATGATCTGGGAAGATTCAGAGGGTGGGTGTACTAAATGAATAAGCAGAGTTGAACTCAAGAATATTGGTCTAGAGAGATTCTCAGTCATCATGATTGTCCCAAAAGGGCAACTGAACTTCGTTTTTCCTTGAAGATGTTTCCTTGAAGATTTAAAGAAATGTCTTGGATGAGAAGCAAAACTTCAAGAAAGAACAAAGTCCAGTTGCCTTTTGAAAAGGCACCTTTGGGTCAAGGATATTGGCAACAGCAGTGTCCCTGCCTATTTACTCTGTATTCCCAATCCCTTCCTTTATATGTTCTAGCTATTTTCCTCAATGTCTTTTGCTTTTGCCCAATGGCTCTTCCCTCCCACTTTCAAGAACCCATATTTTGGTCTAAGAGGAACATAAACAACCAAAAATGTGCATGAAATTGAAATTGATTTGCAAGTTTCAATAGACATGTATTAGTGCACTATTGTAGTGCAATCTTATAATGTATTCTCAAATATTTTCAAATGTATTCTCAAATATTCTCAAATACATTCTTTTGAGTTCATTGGATTTTATTCAGATACAGTTGAGAAGCAGTTTTTATGTATTTCTTTGCCTTACAACATTTAGAATAAGCCATTTTAATATAGAATCTCACTTTTCAACTATTAAGTTATATTTGAGATCATGTTTAATGGGCTTGATTGTTTTGTATCTCAAACACACAGGCATGAAAACCTGGCTAAAACCTTTTTGCATAATTTTTAATAATACATTAATTGCTTTACTATTCTTGCCACTTCAGCACTTCACACACATGTATTATTTTGATAATAATCGTTAGCATTGCATTATTAGTATTTTATATTAGACATTTCTAAAATTAGAAATATTTCAAACTGCAGACTTCAAAATGCCACATTTAATAGCAAAACTTAGAATTGCAGTTAAAATTAAATTATGAACATCACATGTCTGAACTTGATTCATGTACTGCAGTTAAGTGTAAATTAATTAAGTATTTAAGATGTTAAATGAAGAGAAAGGTTTGATTTGAAGAAAAAGCACACATTCCTGCAAGTGCTTTACTTTCAGCTTGACCTCAGGGCTGAGAACTACAAAAAACAGTAAACTGACTTTAAAAGTTCTTTTAGGAACGAGGGATTATCCACTCCTTCTGTTTCCCTCTTTATTTTTATTTCTTCTTTGGTTCCTATCTGGATCTCTAATCCTGCGTAAATTCAGTTACAAAAGCATAAAATATATACAAGAGTAATAAGTAATATTTATCTCATTCTTCCATCATATAAAAGCAAACATAAATTGACATATCCCCAACATTTGGCATTCTATTTTACTTGGAAAAATGTTTTATTTTCCACACTTGGCTGTGACTCCATGAATATAATAGGGCTTACTTCCAAGTGACTATTCATAATCTTGGATTGTACAACTGAATCACATACATGCTTATAAATGAATCACATACCTGCAAATAAATACTACTCAGATTTTGCACAAATGCAACACATCCATTTATTCACTAAATCAGACTGTCTTTTTTCAGGTTGTCCAAGTGAATCCGAAAAGAGATGTATTTCTTTAAGAAATCTGAGTTTCAATGCAATATCACTTTTTTTTCAGGGCCAGGCTGGTATAATAAATAGCAGAAACCTACTGTAATTTCTCAATATCAGAAATACTTGATTTTTGAGGTGTGCTCAGCCACCTTTGTTTTTCTATAACAAGAAATAAATATTTAATTTTTTGTTAATATTTTGTTTTCCCTTGGATTGTCACTAATGAGAGCAAAATATTACCAGTTAATTCTCTGCTGCATCTTAGTTGAATAAACTGGCAAGTTATATTTTATATCTCTCTATATATATGTATACATATGTAAATATATAGACTTCTTAACATGTTTAATTTTTTTTCTAAAAACTATGATGTAAATAGTGGTTTCTTTAAAATACATATTTTGTATTATATCAAATGCAAAGAAATTAACATTTTAATCATTTTGTTCTGTATATTCCATGTATTAATAAATGTAAATATTATTGCATAGGGTTAACATTTTGCATGTATGTATACAGTGCAAGTCTGGAGGAATGTATAGAAAATGTTTTATTTAAAATTGTAATTATTGCTGCATGATAAATGCATGGGGGACCCTGTGCATCTCTGCAATGGCAAAAATTGTCAAAACCGGATTATCACTGTATTCTGTTTCTGAACATGACTTCTGCTATGGTATTTCAGCTTTGTAAAAGAATGCTTCAAATGAATGAGCCTGGGGAAAAAAGAACTACCTTTAAAACGAAAAGATCCTCTCCTTGCCCCCCATCACAAATATTGTTAAGTTTTTAATTCCATTTAAAGCCACTGAAATTCTATTGCAGTATTTTCAGATAATGTAATCTTGTTTTGCATTGACATACATACAAATTATGGAATTTATACAGCCTTTTTTGTTGTGAAGTTTTCACTGATTAAAAAAAAATAAAAATTCTCATTTTATTAAGACATGACTTATTCATGTAATGTCGCAAAACTGTACATATGGCAGTGTGAAGTTTTTAAAATTCTTTCAGTGTTTACTTCCTGCAGAAAATTTGAATAAATGAAAAAATGCATTGAATTTGTAGTCTTAATCTATTGATTGCATTGTTTTATTTGCAACCAAACAGTAATTCTTAATTTGCCATAATCTCCCCTCTTGTAGACTAATACTCCATGCATAAATCCCGTATAGAGGAAAACATACAATCTCTTGTAATATTTGCTGAATTAGAGCAGATACATAATTCTTCTACTGTGCATCACATAGAGATTATCAAGTATATTTGTTCACTAAGATTCTTTAATCAGTTGAACTTCAGTTTACTGTAACAGTATTAGTCCCAGGAAACTGAATCAGTATTATAATACTTCAGGACTAATAAACAACAACCTTTCTAATTAGTACCTTATTAAAAAAAATGTGTACCTAGCACATTGTTCCTATTTATTTTCTCTGTATTTCTGTCCATATTTATTTTGGGTTGCCACCCCATCCTTTTGTCATTTGTTTTATCTAGGTCCATTGAACATAATTCCCTTATTGAAAGGACTGAAGTACTGTAGGAGTTGAAAGCTCTGCCTTCACCCTATTATCCATGACTATCCTACCATCTTTTAACAGTCAGCCAGGCCTTTTTTTCTAGAATCTGCTCTGTTTTTTCCCCCTTTAGTTTTCCTAATTTGCTTCCTACAGATATTAGCTACTTGCTGGTAAAACTCCTAATCCTTACAAATTACCTCCATCATCTATTTCACACACACACACACACACACACGCACGCACACATATGCATAAACACACACACACATACACACAACTCTTCTAATTTCACTTTGATCTGATTATTTTTTTCATGGGATCCTGGATATTAGCTCTCTAAAGTTTTGGAAATTAGCTCTTCTAAAATCCAGCATGCCTATATTGTGATGCTTTGATGATCTCTCTGCCCGGCACATTTATCTAAGGACACAGAAATCATTGAGGTATACAGGTGAAACTCAAAAAGTTAGAATATCGTGCAAAAATTCATTTATTTCAATAATGCAACTTAAAAGGTGAACCTAATATATGAGATAGACTCATTACAAGCAAAGCAAGATAGTTCAAGCCGTGATGTGTCATAATTGAGATGATTATGGCTTACAGCTCATGAAAACCCCAAATCCACAATCTCAGAAAATTAGAATATTGTGAAAAGATTCAATATTCTAGGCTCAAAGTGTCCCGCTTTAATCAGCTAATTAAGCCATAACACCTGCAAAGAGTTCCTGGGCCTTTAAATGGTCTCTCAGTCTGGTTCAGTAGGAATCAAAATCATGGGAAAGTCTGCTGACCTGACAGTTGTGCAGAAAACCATCATTAACACCCTCCATAAGGAGGGAAAGCCTCAAAAGGTAATTGCAAAAGAAGTTGGATGCTCCAAAGTGCTGTATCAAAAGTGTGGAAGAAAAGGGTGCACAAGCAGCAGGGATGACCACAGCCTGGAGAGGATTGTCAGGAAAAGACCCTTCAAAAGTGTTGGGGACTTTCACAAGGAGTGGACTGAGGCTGGAGTCAGTGCATCAAGAGCTACCACACACAAACGGATCTTGGACGTGGGCTTCAAATGTCATATTCCTCTTGTCAAGCTGCTCCTGAACAACAAACAATGTCAGAAACATCTTACCTGGGCTAAAGAAACACAGAACTGGTCTGTTGCTCAGTAGTCCAAAGTCCTCTTTTCTGATGAGAGCAACTTTTGCATCTCATTTGGAAACCAAGGACCCAGAGTCTGGAGGAAGAATGGAGAGGAACACACTGCAAGATGCTTGAAGTCCAGTGTGAAGTTTCCACAGTCTGTGTTGATTTGGGGAGCCATGTCATCTGCTGGTGTTGGTCCACTGTGCTTCATTAAGTCCAGAGTCAACGCAGCCGTCTACCAGGATATTTGGGAGCACTTCATGCTTCCTTCCATAGACGAGCTTTATGGGGAAGCTGACTTCATTTTCCAGCAGGACTTGGCCCCTGCCCACACTGCCAAAAGCACCAAAACCTGTTTCAATGACCGTGGGATTACTGTGATTGACCAGCAAACTCACCTGACCTGAACCCCATAGAGAATCTATGGGGCATTGCCAAGAGAAAGAGAAGAGACATGAGACCAAACAATGCAGAGGAGCTGAAGGCCGCTATTGAAGCATCCTGGTCTTCCATAACACTTCAGCAGTGCCACAGGCTGATAGCTTCCATGCCACTCCGCATTGAGGCAGTAATTTCTGCAAAAGGGGCCCAAACCAAGTACTGAGTATATATGCATGCTTATACTTTTCAGAGGTCCGATATTGTTCTATGTACAATCCTTGTTTTATTGATTGCATGTAATAGTCTAATTTTCTGAGATTGTGGATTTGGGGTTTTCATGAGCTGTAAGCCATAATCATCACAATTATGACAAATCACAGCTTGAACTATCTTGCTTTGCATGTAATGAGTCTATCTCATCTATTAGTTTCACCTTTTAAGTTGTGTTATTGAAATAAATGAACGTTTGTACAATATTCTAATTTTTTGAGTTTCACCTGTATAACTTCAACTGTTCCTTAAACAGAAAAAAGAGTTCATTATTGTGGGCTTCCACGTACTCTGATTTTCTATCCTCCAGTCCCATTCTTACTACTGAGCATCAAGCTACTTCATGGATAGATTTCTGTGATATAGTTGCCTCCTGTTCAGATTACTGAAACTTGATCTACATGTGGCTGACCTTGAAGACCAATTGGAATCTGCAGCTGGATCAGAATTACAGTTTTGTCTGCCCCATGATTTACCCAAACAATAATACTGCTGCATGAGCTCCACTGACTGTTAGTTAATGTTTGGGTACAATTCAGGGAGCTGGTTATCATTTTTAAAGCCCTGTATGGCACAGGGCCAGTTTACTTGAGAGACCATGATACCTTGAGGGTA